TTACAGGCGTGAGCCACCGCGCCCGGCCAGTGTCAGATTTTTAATTGGGAAGCACCGAGCGCTTCTGCTCCTTCTCGTGGCTCCTGGCTGGTGTGCGTTTTCTAGGGGCCCCACGCTGGCTGGAGGTGACGGCAGGGCTTGCACACCCCTTCCTCACCCCGCCCCACCTTCGCCCGTCCCCTCCCTGTCCCCTCGCTCCCATAGTAAAGCTCTGACTTTATGATTGAGTGTGTCTGATGTTTTGCAGGAAAATGTGACATTCGCTGTAGGTTTCCGGTATATTCTGTCAAGGAGCTTCCTTCTCTTCGTGGCTTCATTGTATTTCGTATCGTGAGTGGGTTGTGCGTTCTTTTGAATCCTCCTGATGCTCCTTGTGACCGTGGTCTTCCGCAGCAGCACCACTCCGATAGGCTTCTGTGCGGAGCCATCCTTGGGCACACCCCGCTGGGCACGTGTGTTACTCTCTTAAAACCCTCTGGCTTAGATTTGCTGGCGTGTGTCTGGGCTTTGCGCCTGTGGTAATGGAAGCCGCAGGCCTCTGCTTTGCTTCCTCAGTCCTGGTCTCGGGTCTGCCAGCTGTAAGGAAACTGCAGCCTGGGCCCCCACCGTGCCCTGGCGCAGCGCCCCCCAGCCCGGCCATCTCAGCCCTCCAGGGCGCCTGGGCTCTCTGGGAACAGGCTTTTGGTTTTAATGAGGTGCTGAGTAAATTGTCTACCTTATTCCGGGCGGTATGGGAAACTGCTGAAGTATCACCTCATACATCCTAATTATCCCTGAGGCTGCTGAGAGCTGGCGCACAACTGCGCTAAGGACCTGCCCCAGGCCTCTGTCAGCAGTTTGGGGCAAGGGACCCAGAGCTGGGCGGTGTCCCCTGAGTTTGGATTGGTCAGGGCGGGCCTTTCAGACCTTTCTTGGTGATCGCCTGCCCTGGTTGCCTTGGGAAACCTGCGGGGCCGTCCTCCCTGGGCGGGCATGGCACTGCTGCACCCCAGCCCTGAGTCTGAGCTGTGCCTGCGTCACCAGGTGACGCATTTGACCCTGGCCTGTGCTGCTGTGTTGGCCTGGGCAGAGCGGGCCTTAGTCCAAGATCTGCACGCTCCTGCGGGCCACATGCTGGCAGATAGCACGTTTGAACATGTGTTTTATTAGCAATTTTGAAATAAATACGTTATTAAGTGAAAATCAAATCCTGAGGCCATGCCCCTTCTGTCCAGGCCCTGCCCACACCCCTTGGCTACTGGCCGGCCCCACCCTCCAGGCCTGCATGCCCTGGGGTCTGTCTCTCAGTCACGGCCCTTTTCCCTGTCCTGGCACTCGGCCCCTGGTCCCTGCCACTCTCGCTGTGGCTGTGGTGTTGAGTGACCAACCTCTCCCCTCCTCCCTGCCTGGGGCCCACGTCCTCCCTCCTGCGGTCTTGGCGGAGTGCTCAGTGCTTGTCTTGACTATGCAGGGGACAAAGGAGTGTCTGACTCTCCCAGCCAGTGACTTCCTTTCTTTAAGTCAAGGGCCACTTCTGCTCACTGTCCCTTTGCCCACTGTTTTGTGCCCAGGCCACTTTTGCCAGTGTCCCTTTACAAAAGGAAGAATCCTCTGTGCCTGCAACTCCAGTCTCATAATCAAGCCTGTAATTAAAAAGTATGTCTCTGTGATTAAGAGGAAAAAAATAACTCAGCTGGCTCACCCCAGGGTTCTGGGGCAGAATGTAGGTGACAGCAGGAAAAGGAGGTGGGGGCAGGGCCACCTTCACAGCTGGTGTTGTCCTGCGCCTCTGATGGGCTCTGGACCTGTGTGGCAGTTCAGCTTTTGTTTCTCTCTGACCAGCTGCTCTTCCTCCCACAGAAATCGAAGCCATCAAGCTGGCTGAGCAGAAGCGCAGAGAGGCACAGAGGCGGAGGGCGACGGCCGTGGTGGGGGACCTGCAGCCCCTGAGGGACGCCCTGCCTGAGCTGCTGGGGCTCGAGGCCGGCAGCCGGCGCCAGGCCCACAGGTGAGTGTCCGGGCACTGGCCTCCCCCCCAGGGGTGGGGTGGGCACCTTGTGGCTCCTGAACCCTGGGGAGGCCTGCGACACCCTAGTGAGCTGTCCTTGGGGTGAGCTCTCAGGCAGGTGTGGCTCTGTCTGGAGACATTTCGGGAGAGGCCTGGTGACTGCTGATGCCACTACCCCCACCCCCGCCTGTCCCCAGCGCAGCCTCCCCCGTGGAGCTACTGCCCTTTTCCCACCCTCATGCAGGGGGCGCCCTCAGTTCTCAGGTGGGCCCCCCCCAACACTGCACACTCCCCCTTTGCACCCACTCCAGACGCGCTCTGTCGATGTGGTCGCTGCCCCTCCCACCAAGGGCACTGCCCGTGGGACGGGCCATCCTCTGTACAAGGGCTGGATGGCCCGAGTTGGTCCTCGTGGGGCAGGAGCTGCGTCACGTGGGATGGAGACTGGCGTGAGGCCAGCTGTTCTGCGAGGGCTCCGTGTGCAGGACGTGTACTTGGCCAGGCTGGAGTCTGGCTGTGTTCTTCCAGCCTGTCTAGGGAAGAGGCAGGGGCCCCCCCCGCCGCCCCTTACTAAGAGCTGGGAGGGGGTTCTGTGTCCCGAGTGTGTGAGCTGTCACGCCAGCTGGCCTGGGCCTGGGCTTCATCCTTGTCGGCAGTGACCCCACAGCCTCCCTGCACTGGGAGGGGTCTGGCCCCTGTGCATGAGCCCAGCTCCCAGATGCGCCCTCCAGACCCGCTGTCACGGAGCCGGCCATTTGCCAGTGACAGGTTTCATATGTCCTGAAGATGCTTTTGTGGCCCCGCTGGCCTTCTGTGGTGTGTGGGCCCCAGAGTGGCTCAGCCAGGAGGGTGGGGGCCGCACGGCCATCTCTGCCCCTTCTGCCTGCGAAAGGAAAGCCGGCCTCTGCCCCTCCTGGGCCGGCTCGGGGCGCTGGCCAGGTGTGGGTGCAGAGGCGTGCTGCACGCCAGGGTGCCGAGGCTGAGCCTCTGCCTCGGCGTTAGGGACAGGCGGGCATGCCGGGGCTTTCTGTCCTGTCCCAGTTGCTGGGCCTTCCTCATTTATTTGTGTCATCTCTAATTTTGTCTTTTTAAAAATAATTTTCTTTCTCCTACTCAATTTCTGTCTGGGGAGGAAGCAGGGGCTACATGCAGTGTCAGGTCCAGGGGTGGCGGGTGACATGCTGCAGAACCCGACGGTCCCAGGCCGGCTTCCCGAGATGGAAGCATCCGGAATGTTAGGACCAGATGAGGCGCGGCCACCAGAGTTGAGATTTGATGACTGGACAGAGCCGACGGTGCAAATTCCATTCCTGGTTCTTGAACAAAAATGTGACCCTGGTCAAGCATCCTTTCCCTGTTTTTAGTTTTCTCATCTGAAAAATGTGCTCGGGGCCTGCAGAAGGGAGAGAGCTGTGTAAACACCCTGGGCTGCCAGGCCCGAGAGGAACGTGCCCATGGCCTCAGGGCTGCCGGCGGCTGGGCCAGCCTCGTGTGCCGGGCTGCGTCCCGCTGTCCGGGTGAGGGAGGCGCCGCCTGCTCTCAGCCCCACGAGCCTCCCGTGGTCACCGTTCCTCCTCAGGTGCCTGCATCTCGGGCAGCGAGCATCCTGGCACTGGGGGAGCCCTCTGGATAAACTTCATTTTCCTTATTTTCATGTGATTTCATTTTATTTTTAAAGGCAGGGCCTCGCTCTGTTGCCGAGGCTGGAGTGCAGTGGCGGTGATCACAGCTCACTGCAGCCTTCAACTCCGGGCTCAAGTGATCCCCCTGCCTCAGCCTCCTGAGTAGCCGCCATGCCCGGCTAATTTTTAAAAATTTTTTGTGGAGATGGGGTCTCGCTATGTGGCTTAGGCTGGTCTCAAACTCTTGGTCTCAAGCAATCCTCCTGCCTTGGCCTCCCATAGTGCTGGGATTACAGATGTGAGTCACCGCACCTGGCCTTAAACTTTATGTTAAAACAGTTTAGATTCATAGAGAAATGGCAGTGAGTTCCCATATACGTCACCCCCAGTTTCCCCCGTTACTGGCACCTTGCGTTAATGTGATACGTTTGTCCCAATTAAGGAACCAACATTGATACATAATAATAATACATTTAAATAATAATTAACTGAAGCCCATACTTTAGATTTTAATTTTCCCCTAATGTCCTTTTTCTGTCCCGGGACCCCACTGACGTTAGTCATCTGTCCCCTCAGGCCCCTCCTGCAGGGAGTCACTGGGGCGTCTCGTGTCGGTGACCTGGGCAGTCCGGGGAGGACACATCGGGCAGTTTGCCGGTGCCCCTCAGTGGGGGCTGACTGGTGTCCTCACGGGCAGGTGGGTGGAGGGCTGTGGGAGGAGCCCCTGTGGGGACCTGCCCTTGTCATCTCCTGGTCTCAGGGCGCACACGGCCGACGTGCTCGTCTCTGTGACGCTGCCCTGGTCAGGCTGGCGTCTGTCAGGGTCTCCTGGACAGTGACCCCCTTTCCACACCGTCCTCCCGGAAGGAGGTCGCTGTGCTTGGCTCACACGTCAGGGCTGGGAGCTGCGCTCCCCCTCCAGACGCCGCCCCTGCGTGAGTAACTCGGAATCCTGGGCGGGAGCTGTGCTCTTCTCCCTGTTTGTTCATGTCGTTTATTCGCGTCCGTGTGGACTCGTGGGTCTGTATGGTACACTCTGGGCTGTCATCCAATGCTACTTTATTTTGTTGCTGAAACTTCCGCGTTGGCCACTGGAGCCTCGCAGTGGGCTCCGGGGTCCCTCGGATGCCCCACCGATGGTGGTGGTCTCAGCACTTGCTGCCGCCTGGCGCTGGCACGTGCTGGGCTCGTCTTGGGCATCTCCTGCCTGTTCTGGCATCAGCGCGTCTCCAGGGAGCCCCGGCTCCTGGTCAGAGGGTGTGAGACACAGGGCCGGTGCCGCTGGGGGGCCGTTGCTTCTAGGCCCTGGAGCTGACAGCAGAGAGGCGCGTGTGGACACGGCCTGTGTACGTTCGCAGGGCCACCCCCTCTTCTGACACCAGCTGCCAGGGTGGGGGCCCCTGAGAACACACGCCCTTAGGTTTGTTAACTCTCTGGAAGGATTCACTCAGCGGTTATCCTCGTGGTTGTGGCTGTCACAGTGAAAGGACACAGATTAAAACCAGCCGAGGGAGAGAGGCGTGGGGCAGAGCGTGGGAGGATGCTCCCCCAGCTCTCGCCTCGGCTGTCCCCGGCAGGACTGGCATGCCTCGTCCGTCACCCTGCCCTGTGCCCCATGGGGCTTCCTGGCCTATTGGCTGCCCAGCCCCATTCCAGACACTCTGGTCCCCTGTGGGGTCCCTGTGCCCTTCCAGTTGCTGGGGCAGGGCTGGGCTCTCCACTGTTGCTCCCGCGTGGCGGTGCCTCGGAGCCTCCACCGGACAGGGTTCCTCGCGGTGCAGAGAGAACCGGCCATTCGAGACAGCTCACACCAACGAGTGACTTTTTAGGGCACATATTTTGCATGAATAGCACAGCTGACTGGTGCTTCTGTTACCCCCCTGCCCCCTGCCCCAGGAGTGTCCTGGATTCAGAGTTGGAAGGGACCTGGTGTGGGGACAATCTGTGGCCCTGGCTCTGAAGTCACCAAGGCTCTGGGCACTGCACAGCCATTGCAAATCCGTGGTGCGGCTCGGCTGTGTTTGCGTTGCAGGGCAGTTGTGGGAGCCTGGGGCTCTGAGCCAGCCTAGCGGGTCCTCACCGTGTCCTCTAGGTGCCACCCGAGGTGGCTGCTGCAGCCACCTGTCTGGGCAGGCGCCGCACCACAGATAGCTGGGACCTGGCATGGAGGCTCTGCCGGGGAGTCCACCGAGGACCCTGAGCCTGGAGCCAGCATGTCTCTGCCTGTTGATAAAAGGACAGATTCTCTACGAAGTGGACCCTGTGTGGGCCACAGAGCCGCACCGGCTGGGCCATGTTCTTCTTTCCAGTGAATGGGGTCAGGAAAGCCTGTGCCTTCCTGTGGGTGCAGGGGCACGGCCCCGGTGTCTTTGGGTGCACCCCAGGGCTGCTGCTTCAATGCTCAGAGCACCCCAGGCCGGGGTCGCAGGCCTCCCTCCCGCTACCACCCTCCCAGACGACAGCTGGGCAGACGGTGTGTTGGAGGTCATGGTGCCCCTGTGGGTGGACCGTGAGGCCTGCTCCTGGGAGCTGCGCAGTCTTTCCAGACTTCTTTGCCTTTGTTTGGGGTTCCCCATGCCCAGCAGGTTCCTGGGTATATGGGGTGGTGGGGCGGACACGTCCCCAAAGTCCATAGTGGGCGTTGCCTGGGCCTACCTGTGGTGTCCCATTGCTGTTGGGACCGTGCAGTGCCCGGCCACATTTTACATTGGGGAAACCGAGGCTTCGTGGGGTGGAGGGGCTTCTCCGAGGCTCACACGTGATGGCACCAGGTCGGCTGGTCTCTCCAGCCACTGCCCCACGCTGGTCGGGCTGGGGCTCCTCCAGGCAGGTCTGTGCAGCTTCTGTCCTTCAGTCCAGGGCACGTGGCACCAGGCTGTGTCCCTGTGAGCTGCACGGAGGGGTGGCAGGCAGGTCCCCATCCCGATGCCCCCCACTCTCAGGCCTGTACGCTGCTGGTCGGCCTCACCGGTGCCCCAGCTGAGGCCGCCCTCGGCAGTCGCCAGGGCGGTTTCAAGCAGGCTGCAGCCTGGGCTGCCCCTGCCCTCTCTGGATGAGCCGGAGCAGGACTGGGGGCCAAGCCTGCTGGGTTATGAGCTTGGGGGGCCTGGGGCATTGGGGTTGGGGTCTCCCCTCAAGGGTGGGCAGCCCTCTGTCCCTGCCTGGGGCCCAGGCCTGAAGCTCCCTGCCTCCCGCCGTTGTGCAGCTAGAGCAGGACGACATCTGGCCGTCCTTGGGGAGCCGAGCAGTGGGTCCAGGAGCAGGACCTCAGGGGCTTCCTGGGGTCCTCACGCTGTGGCCTTCTCCAAGCCCCAGGACCCCGTCGTGGCCCTGCCCTGAGGGTCTCCTCTCCTTGGCGTGGGGGGTGCCAAGTTGGAACCTTGGAGGCTTTGAGGGCAGGGCCCATCTGTTTGGGGTCTAGCGTAGCTCCCGGGGTGGAAATCTTGACCTCGCGACCCTTCAGGCTCTGGGCTTGGTGTTCTAGCATCCACTGTGCGAGTGGCCACCCCTGAGAGCGTGTGCGGAGCTGGGCGAGTGTTGCGCCCCCTGGGCTGGCGGTGAGGTTACTGCTGCTGCTGGGAGGGAGCGGTGGGGGCCGGGCGGGGCCGTGCTGTGGGCGGGGCTGAGACCTGGATTCAGTCGCTCTGCTGTGGTTCCCACCACGGGACCCTGGGAATCATGTGATGGAGGTTGCTGACCCTCAAGGGTCACCTGGTCCATGACAGTAATGGGAAACCTGTCGGAAGGTGTGCCCCACCTGGGGGGTGTTGCTCTCTGAGCCCTGGTGTGCCTCGAGGCTCAGGTTGGGGATAGAGCCTGCCCGTCGCCTCCCACCTGTGGGGGGCTCAAGCCTGACCTGTGGGCGCTGAGGGGACTCTGGCTTAGGGCCTTGGGAGGCATCCGTCCGGCCCCATCTGCTGTGTAGCTCCTTGCAGATGGGCCAGAGGTCCAAGGCCTGAGGCTCCCCGCCCACTGAGGTGCAGCACCAGCACGCGGCCCTGTGGGAGGATGGACCCCCTGGCGACCACTTCCGAGGGGCGGGGATCCGGGCTGCTCGGGGGTGGACACCGAGGCCGCCAGCGAGGGGAGCAGAGCTGCGCGGCATCTGGGCCAAGGCTGGCCCAGGAGAGGTGGCCGCGGAGAGGGTGTCACCAGGACACAGACAGCTGTGGCGGGTGGGGGAGACCCGAGGGAGTGGAAAGGAAGTAGGACTGGTGGTCCTCCTCCAGATCAGCCCAGGAGCCAGGGCGAAAGGAAAGTGAAGCTCAGGCACTATTTTGAGTAGACATAAAATGTCTTTCATTCATATTTTAAAAGAATCCTGAATAAAAGATCAGGTCTCCCGGTCTGGAGGCTAAATTTAGGTGTGGCCCGAGGACTGAGCCGCCTCCCCATCCTCTGCATCTGCCCGCACGTGCCTCCCCGCAGCCACTTCATTGATGGTGGGTGGCAGCTCCGCGGAGGACACCCAGCGTGGCCCCTGAGGGGCTCTTCTCTTCCTGCCCAGGCCCCAAGCCTCGTGCACCTTTTGACCATTCGGCCAGGTTGGCAGGCTGCCTTGGATCACAGGAAGAGGTAAACTGAGGAACCAGTCACAATGCGACGGCCATGTGGCAGGTGGCAGTCCACCCTGACAAGAGGGGCCCTCACGTGTGGCTGGCGTCCCCCATGGGCGTAGGAGGACCTGCATGGGGCCCGTGTCTGCCCTGTGGTCGGTCGTCACTGTGGCGGGGCAGCACCCCGCTCTGGAATAGCCCACTCTTTTCATTTCCTCGGTTTGGAGAGAGGTTGGAGGACAGATTGGCAGGCGCCTGGGTCAGCTGTCTGTGCGGGAAGTGGTGTGTGTGGCCAGAGCGGGAGTGTGTTGGATGGGCCTGCTCTGCACTCGGGGCTACACGGGGTGCTGTGTGTCCTGGGACGTCCGTCATCCTCTGTCACACCAGAGCCCAGAGGACCCAAGGCAAATCCCTTGACGTCCAGCTCCCGTAACGTCCAGCTCAATTCCACGGTCGGGCGACTGTTGGGCTTCTGCAGCCGGAGCGCAGCACGGACTTGCGGTGTTTGGGCCACCGCAGTGCCTGCTCGGGGAAGGGAGGCCTGCCGTGGGGAGGGTTTCCCGGGGAGGCCAGGTGTCGAGCTGACGCGGCTTCTGTGTCCACAGCAGGGCAGGCAGCAAGCCCAGGCCAGCCGAGCTCAGCAGGATGAGTGCAGCCCAGAGACGCCAGCTCCTGTGAGTACCGGCCCTTCCCGAGGCCCCCGCGCCACGGGCTGCTTCCCTTGTGTTTCAATTTCGACTCCAGGTGTGGCGCATTTAGACGTCCATGGTGTCCTGCAGTCGGGCTCTTGGGGGAGGCCAGCTGCCCCTCAGGGTGCTCCCTGGGGAGCTGCAAGACCTCCCTCCCACCCTCCTGCCCTTGGTTGGTCAGACTCCGGGTGACGTGGACGACAGACCTCTGCGTCGGTTCTGTGGCCGAGCCCCTTTGCTGGCTGCCCCTCAGCACCCGCTGCCCCCTGTTCTGTGGAAACTGATAGAAAATTCACAGACCACACTCTCTGCCTTTGCAGAACTGGCTCCAGTTCCCACCGCGCTTGCTCTGGGGGAGTCCGAGGGGCCGGTCTTCGCGTGCGAAGGGGATCGTTTTGGTTGGCTGCTGAGAGGGTTTTCTAAGTTTCTGGAGTAACTTCGCTAAGGTGTTTCTTAGGATGGAACATTCTGTGTCCATTCTTACTGAGGCCTGCTGTGCTTTTTCAGTTTATAAGTTAGTCTTTTTCAGTAATGACTGTTACTTTTGGGAACTGGTTTGAATTAATTGTAGCTGCAGGTGTCACTGCGGGTCTCTCTTTGGAGGCACTAGCTGCACATTTACTGCATCTTTTGCTCTGTTTTCTATACCACTTTAGGCACTTTTTAGCCCTGAATTTTTATTATCTTTTTATAGTTGTTATTTTTTATCTTTTTAGAGACGAGGCCTCACTGTGTTGCGCAGGCTGGGCAGCAGGGCCTCCAGTGACCCTCCCGTCCCAGCCTCCCGAGCGGCTGGGTCTCTTCACAGCCTGAGAGCTCCTGGGGGCTGGCGGCCTGCAGCCTGCGTCCCCTCCCCGAGAGCACGCGGACCTGTCCCTGTCCTCGCAGGTGACGGACCTCTTCCTACAAGCCTCTGTTTTAGGGGGTCCAGGTTGACACCTGGGGCCTGGCACAGGGCCACACAGCCGCCCGGGCCAGAGCACCCCTCCCCCCACATCCCTGGCAGCATCCTCCCTTGTGTGCATGCGCACGTGTGTGCTCTCCACATGGCACCAGCTTCCGGGCGTCACTGTGGGGCCCCTTCCCTGGCCTGCACGAGCCGCAGGGTCGCAGACAGGCTCCTCAGCGGCGTCATTGCTGTGACTGAGGCGTTTCCCTGCCGACCTCGCGAGCAGAGCCCCAGTCGTCGCACAGGGCCAGCGGCAGCGGCAGGGGGAGGTGTCAGTTGGTGACCAGCAGAGCCCTGGCAGCCTGCGCGTGGGGACGGAGCCTCGCTGGCCCCGGCACAGTGTCCTGCCACTGAGCCTCGGGCCCCACCGCCCTCCGCGCTCTGCAGTGCGAGCAGCCAGCTCGGACAGTCTCCCGGCCGGTGTGAGGCTCCCTGTCACAGCCGGGAAAGCCGGGCCAGTGTGGCTGGACTCGCCCTGGGTCCCGCACATGGGGCACACGGGTCCCCGGCTCAGCCTCCCAGCGGGTCTGACATGAACCTGTCCAGGAGTTGCCCCCTGAGGCTTACCCCGGGGTCACCTTTGTCATCCACAGGGCAGCTTGCTGGGGCGCATGTGGCCGTGCTGGCTACAGGGCTGGCAGAGCATGAGCTGGCCCCAAGCTTCCAGAAGGCGGCCTGACCTTGCTGGGTTTAGAGCAGGGGCCAGGGCCAGGGTGGGCGGTGCTGGGCTATCTGTTGCCTCTGCCGACAGGCCTTGGTGGCCGCCCTCCTCGCCCTGGGCATGTGTTGTGGTCGTGCCGTGCAGGGAGGCGCCTCCTACGCAAGGCTGTGTCTGCGGGGCGTGGGAACCGCTGCCCCGTCCTCAGCCGCCTGCCTTAGCGGTGGCCCGTCCACACCCTGAGCCTGCTGGCAGGGCAAGGCCTGAGGCAAGCTCCTCAGGTGGGTGCAGGGGCTCCAAGGCCTGCCTGTGGCCAAGAGGAGGAACCAGGTGGGCAGTCTCCTCCTGCCGGAAGGCTCTGAGGCCCGGCACTCAGTCCCGTGGTGACGCCAGGCCTCTGCTGTCCACTCTGGTATCTGAGCTGTCCCACGGTGCCTGGGTATGGAGTGGCTGAGCCGTGTCGGGTCCTGGGGGTGCTAAATGTGCGTCCCTGACTCCCCTCACCCAGGGGCTGTGGGCGTTTCTGTGCTGCCACCTGCTGACCTCGGGTCTCCATTCTTTCAGTGAGGAAGAAAGGACCCGGTTTCGGGAGCTGCTGGCCAGTCCGGCCTACAGAGCCGGCCCCCTGCTGGCCATCGGGCAGCGGCTGGCGCACCAGATGCAGCTGGAAGGAGGCAGCGAGCTGTGAAGGACAGGCCGCGACTCCTCAGGACGCACCTGCGGGCAGAAGTGCCCAGGGAGCACGGCCCCTCAAGAACCGTGGCCCTGGCGGTTGCCCCCCGGGTCTTTCTGGCGTGGTGGGAGGGCACGGAGATGGATGAGGACCAATAAAGCGCCCACAAACCTTCCTCTGTGCCCCGTTGCTCAGGCTGGGCGGGCTGGGGGCCCCACGCCCTGTGCAGAGCGATGCGGGGTTTGGGGGCTGCACTTGCACGACACCTGGGCTTGTCCAGGCCTCACCGCTCCCCCTGAGCCAGCGCCGGCGCCCTCTGAGACCGCGACACAGCTTTCCAATGTTGTTTGGGGAAGGAATCTGTCACGGTGCAGGTGACACGGGGTCTTCTGCAATCCGCCATCATTTGCCTTCAAAGAGTTTCTGCTGTGGCCTGGGCCTGGCGGGACCCATCTTCCTGACAGCAGCACTCGGGCCTGCAAGAGCTGCCCACCCCCCTGGCCCCCATGCTCCCCTGGGTCCCCCAGGTACAGATGGATCTTGCCATGGCCCGCGGGTCGCTGACCCCATCGTCCACACCCCCCGAGCTGGGCCTCACCCCTGCACGTGCTGTTCCCGAGGGTCCACCTGGCCTGCTGCAAGCCGGGCCCTCACCCGCCGTGTCCTGGGGCCTGCAGAGTAGAGGTCCTCCCGCGGGCCCACGGCAGACGGATTCATGTTTGTTAGAAGCCACTGGGATCTGGTGTTGGTTGTTGGACTGCAGACACATCAACTGATAGATCCTCGTTTTCAGGATGTGGGAAGTGAGGGGCTGGTGCGTCCCCAGGCCCCTGAGGCCCAGCTGGGCCTCCCAGCTCTTTCCCGCGGCATCCCCCAGAGCTGCATGGCTCATGGGTGCCCGTGCGGCAGTGCTCACGCACTCAGGCACCTTTGGCTCCTGTCCAGAATCAGGCCCTTGGGAGGACGGCCCTGCTGTGGGGACAGCAGAGCTGTACAGTGTGGCAGGATGGCCCTGCCATGGGGACGGCAGAGATGCACGGTGCGGGCATTGCTGCGGGGCTGCCTGGGCCCTGGCGGAGGAGACAGTTGAGCAGAGGTGGAGGCAGCATGTGTCCCGTCCACGGAGGTGGACACAGACTGGCCCAGGAAAGTAGCTTGAGAACCTCGGGCGTGGGGTGTCACCCCGGCATTCTGCGCACGAGCGAAGTACCACAAAGCCCAGCGCCAGCAGGGTGCGTCCAGGCCCTGGAAGGGCGCGTTCTGGGCAGTCATGCGCCACTCAAGTTAGACTCGGGCATCAGCTGAGCGCTGCTCCGTGCCAGCCACTGCGCAGAGAGAATCGGCCCATTTTGCCCAGAGCAAATCGCATGCGTTCACTGATCCCCTGAAACAGTCGCTCTCCGGGTGGCTGCGTGTGGGAACTTCTCTGTCTTTGTGTGTGTGTGTTTCCTAATCTTTGTAGAATGCACATGAACTCTTTGGTCATAATTTTAAGTAAAGAAGTGCTCCAGTTCAGTGGTTTTCATGCTTTTTAAACCCTGGCCCTGTGTTTGTTTGTTTTTTATTTAAAGGCTAAACAGAGCAGATAAAGGCCTCCTGGGGCCTGGAGGTGCCCTGGCGCCAGCCTACAGGGCCCTGGAGGAGCCCCGGCCTGGGACGGTGCCTTCCCACAGACCCACCCAGCAGGTCCTCGTTGCTGGCACACGGGGCGGGGGGCTGGGGGCACCGCAGAAAGGTCGAGGGAGGCAGCGCCTGGAGCCCCCGGGGGTGGGGCTCCGGTGGGTCTCGCAGGAAGAGCAGTGTCTGCAGGGGTGGGAGACACACAGCAAATGCCTGCCCAGAGGAGGGCTCCTGGCTGGGCAGCGCAGGCCCCTGGGGCCTCCCTGAGCCCCTCGCCCCCCGCCCCGCCCCCGTCCCTGCCTGTGCTGCGGGTGCACTTGGCACGGCGGCTCCAAGGAGGCCACGGGAATGTCCCTCCCCAGCACGGCCACGCTTCGCAGGCCACACCACAGCAGCTCCCGGGGTCCACCCTTCCCTAGGAAAGCACCCGCGCCCCCGTGCCTCCCTGCGGCCGGCCCCTCGCTGTGGGGGCAGCCCCGCCAGCCTGGGAGCTGCGTGTGCCGGTCTCCAGCTGCCATCCCGACACCTGGGCAGCCGGGACTGTTTCCCGCAGCTCTGGGCCCGGCCCACTCGCCTTGGAGGACTTGCTTGCTGAGTGAGTAGCTGCCCAGGGCTGGAGCAGCAGGTCATCACCACCTGGGGGGCTTAGAGCCACCAACTTACTCTCCCGCAGTCCAGGGGGCTGGGAGTCTGACCGGGTGTCGCAGGGCCGCGCCCCCCGAAGGCCACAGGGGAGAGTCCTTCACTGCGTCTGGCTCTGGCTGTCGGCAACCCTTGGTGTCCTGGGCTTGTGGGCGCGTTGCGCTCACCTGTGCCCCTGCCGCCGTGTGGCCTCTGAGGAGGGACCAGCCGTGTTGGGTCAGGCCTCCCGCTCTGGTGTGACCTCATATTACGCGACCACTTGAAGGCTCCATTGCCAAGCACCGAGGTTCTGAGTCTTGGGCACCCGGACACTGAGAGTTTCCCCCGCCTTCCCCACCGTCAGCACAGGGCCCCGCGCGGCGCACCCACCCCATGCCTCGTGGACGTTTGCTGACCGGGGTCACGCTGGAAATCGGGAGCTGTGTGTGAACAGAGGGGGTTCAGCTGCGGGGGCGTGGTGGGGCGGGGAGCACAGCACGGACGCGGCTTCCAGGCTGGTGAGTCAGGCCCAGGCAGCTGCGCCTGTTGGGGTTCTGTGCCGCATGAAAGCCAAGTCTTGTACAAACACCAGGCATCTTACTTCTGGAATGTTCCTTGTACAGTGATAACGCCGGTGACGGCAGCCTTGGTCGTCGCCCTGAAACGTTGGCAGGTGCTGCTGCCACCCAGGCCTCATCTGCATGTGACCCCCCCAGCCTTCTGTGTTCCCATCGCCAGAGACCCGTTTTCCTGGCCACTGCGTCAGACGTGGGAATTCGGGCATCAGGGCGAGATGGCGGGATGCTGGCCCTCCCACTTCCTGCCGTGAAGTCGCGTTTCCTGAGGCTACGTGAAGAGCTACCTTGTTTTAAAGGCAGAGACCCAATTAAAGTGTTTTTGCTCCAAAGATGTTAAGGTAATAAAGGTCAAAGTGGTAATCACACACCTGCTTCTGACGTGGGGTTGGTTTGTCTTCCTGAAGGTTGAGGAATCTTAATTTTAGGGTGTTGGGAGGCCACTCGGAGAAAACCAGCGATCACCTGTGTTTCCAAAAGTTTCCTCCAGTGCCGCAGACACAGGTGCCGGGGATGCGGGAGTCTGCGCAGCCTGACGGAGCCCTGTCCCTCCCGGCACTCCTCCCACGCCACCCGAGACAGAAGGCCCCGGAGCCCCTCGAGGTGGAGCCCACGGCAGGGCCGACCCCTCCAGGTAGGGAGCCTGGCCTGGCGGGGAGAGCCTGGCCCTGGGCGCTGAGCTGCCTCCCGCACGGCCCCGAGCACGCGCCGGACCTCCAGCTCCCCTCAGGTGTGTGCGCGGTGGAATGAGGGTCACACAGTGGCCTGGAGGGACAGCGTCCCCAGGCGTCAGGGGGCAAGAGGAGCGCCGGCCCCTCGACGAGGTCAGGAACAGGACTGTCCATTCTCCACGTGAGTCCGTCTGGTCTTCCCAGTCCAGGGATGGGATTCACACGCACACACGCCCCCCACACACACTCACATAAACTCACGCACCACGCATGCATACAAAGCATGCACACCACACTCCCACACCGCACATACCCCGCACACACACACTCTTACACCACACACACAAACCACACACTCCCGTAAACAGACACGCCCCATACACACCGCAGCCGTCTTTCTTCCAGGAGGAGAAGCTGCCCTGCCATGACCGCGGCCTCCCCCCGGCCCAGCCCACTTGGTGGCGGGGATATGCGGTCATGAGCACAGGGTGGTGTGGGGGGCCCTGCTGAGCCGAGGGACCTGTGTGCTCAGACAGGAGCCCAGCACGGCGGGCGTCCCTCCGGGTGGAGCCCACCTCCCTCCCCGCCCGTCCCCCGGGGGAGCAGGGAGCAGCTTCCCTGCTCGTGGCCTCCGGGTTCCCTTGTGCAGAGGTAATTATTTCCACCGCAGCTTCTCCGTCTCTCCTGGGTCAGGCGAAGTGTAATTACATGAGGGTGTGTAATTGGAGAGTCAGGCGCGGGCCAGGCCGTGCCCAGCTCCCACGGGAATGAGCGGGGCAGCCTTCTGTCTCCTCGCACCTCCACGGGCGGCTCCTGCACCTGGCCCGGCCCCCAACCAAACCCGCCCCCGCCCCTCCCTGGCTAGTGCCCAGCCCCTGCTGCCAGAAGCCAGGCCCTGGCACGGCACCGCGAGCTCCGATTCACTCATCCACGGCCGGCCCGCGCCACCAGCAGGAGACCCCTCCCCACACAGCTCAGGCTGGGCTGTCACGGGGAAGCCCCGTGCCCCTGAGGCCTACCCCTGAGGTCTCCTGGGGAGGGAAAGGGGTGCGTGCGGAAGGCGGGGGGAGCGGGGTCCAGAGCCCGTCCCTGGGAGAGAAGATGTGTCTGCGGTCAGGGTTCCTGAGGCCGGACAGGAAGGAAGGGGCGGCCGTCTCAGGCGGGTGAAGGAACCCAGGTCCGCGCAGGGTGGGGAACCTGCAGCCTCTGATTTCAAGATTCGCTTTTAACCACCAAGGGAGGCGACAAAAACTTCTTTCTCTGTGGCACCCTTGTAATAAAAGGATTCGTTCTGCAACGTTTGGATTCAGTCAAAAGGCTGCACTGAAGGACCTAGAAGGCCACGCCTTGCCTTACGGCCGCAGGTTCCCCACCCCTGCCGGGCTGTTGGGAGGTGCAGGCAGCTCTGGGTGGCCGGGTGGTCAGTGCTTCTGTCTGGGCATCACACCTGGCACGTGTCCTCCCCCCAGGCCCTCTCGGGGCCAGGCTCCTGCTGCCGGCTGCCACCGACCGCCAGCTCCGCCTCCGCACCGCGTGACCCACAGGGCTGGCCGGCGCTTTCTCTGCGACGGCACGGAAGCAGCCTGGGGGAGCCGGCGGGAAGCGCGGCAGGAGCCGCAGCCACGGTGGGGCCTGTCCTGGGAGCGGTGGGCAGGAAGGCTGCCCTCCCC